ATTTTGCCTGATACTGTATCTGTTACATCTGGTATGAAAGCTTGGTACTGCCAAGTTCGGCATCAAGATTGTGATGGATTTAAGTGGGAAGGAGATTTCACCTCACGTGAGGTTATATCTAAGATAGAATTTTGCACCTGGCTCTGCTCTGACATGTAATTTGGGGAGCTGATCGTCCTAAGGACAAATGTGCTGAAACATAACAAGGGCTTCCTGTGTTGGGCTCGAGTCCTATGTTTTCTTGGCCCTGACCTCACAACACAGGTGCAGATATATCGGGGCCATACTGGGCACATTCAAGCCAATGCAGGAGTTTTGTACAGTAGCACGTTTTCTTGATGTGCTGAAAAATGCAGCCTGTCATTTCAGCAGCGTCTCCCTCAAGGGTTTGGCAGCAATCACAAGGTGCTTGAGCAAGTCAGCTAGCTGAGGGCACAGTGTTTTACTAACATTATCACCACAGCTGAACTTTCCAAATGTAGTGATCCCCTAAGTAAGTAAGGCTTATTTGAGAGACTACAGAGTGTACAGAAAAGTTATGATGAACTTCAGTGAACTTTGTAGCAGCCTGACCCCTCTGCTATTGTCTCAAGTTGTTGCACAGCACCTTTGAGCCAGCTGGCATTGTCCTCCTTCCCGCCAAGTCTCGCTGTGAATTGCTGCTGCCAGCTACATCTCATCAGATTTCAGTTCAGGTTTGCTGTTCAGCAGCAAGGACCATATACACCTGTCCTTTTTCCCAGTTTCTTCACCTTAATGCTGCAGCAGAGACTTAGGTTGTCAATTTTCAGCGAACAAGTTCTCTTTCAGAGAACAAATGTCTTCTTTTTTACAGTATGGGAATGATTGTAATTTGAGAGAGATGATCCTATTCACTGCTTTAAGGAAGCAAGAATGGTTCTTGAAGCAGAAATAAAAAGGCACGTTTTACACAACAAAAAGTCAGCATAAATTGATGTATTTTCCAGAAAATCTCACAGTGATAAACTGATGAGTCTGTAGCACTTCAGGCAGTTGTGTCTCCCATTTTGTTTTAAGGAGACCCTGCTAGCTGTGCAAGGGACAGGAGAGCATCTGAAGGAAGCTTGCAGTGGTAGGCAGCAGAGAACTCAGAAGGAGACAACAGCTAGCAAATTCAGTAATGCACAAGGAATGTGTTCAAGTGTATTTCCAGTGCCTTAGCATGTCCTTACAAGTTCTTGAAAATAATGGAATTTAAGCACAGAATCAGGTACTTCTAATGAATTGGAGCTGAGGGCTGCAAATACACAGGCAGCATCTGCTTATGTACTATACACTTACGTCAGGGAGTCTCTGCAAGGATATAATTGGTCCAGGAATTCACAGTTGCATTTGGCTGTTTGTAAGAAAACTGCTTGGCATACACTGTGGTAGTTTGCATCTTATCCAGAATTTTTATGAAGATAATAAATAATTTCCCTAACAGAAGAGGAAGTCAGATTTTGTTGATTTATTTTGGTGACGGTAACAGTTTTTGCTAAGGGTAAGAGTTTTGTTCCTCGTAGTTTAAATGAGAAACATAAAAGCATAGTCAGAGCAGGTATCCTGTCTTTTACACTGAGCTTTCTAGATAGGTAGAGCATCTCACACAAATGACCAGGAGTCAGATAGGTTCAGATTCAGTTCCAGCCTGAGTAGTCTCATTCTTTACTCACCTACAGCATAAATAATTGTGGCAGAAGCGCCTTTAATATTCTGATGGTGCCTTTAATGAAATAGTTACTGGATGGGAGATGAAAAAGCAATGTGAAACTGGCTACAGCCTCAGTTACTGCTTTCTAAACGCCTTATTATGTATTTCCATATAAATACACGTCAACCGATTACATTTTTATGCAGTTTCAAGTAAGTTCCAAGCGAAGCCCTGGACGATGGGTGCTTTGGCAGCTCTGTGTTTGATCTAAGAGTCTTTCCATATAAATATTCAATGCTTTTCAAAGTGGAGGGGTTTTGGGCCCCCAAGCATGTAGAATGTACAAGCTACTTTTGTGCTGAGGGCTGACCCAAACACAGGAGAATTTGAATTTCATCCGTAAAATTGACTCCACCGGTTCTGTAGTTCTGTACATTATTCTCCCTGTCTCCCATTTAGCATGTTAGTCTGCTGACAGTAGAGTACACAGCACTTAGCAGGTGGTTTGTGGAACCATCAGTCAGGAAATTGTATGATAAATAGGAGGTAGCCAGGTTTAGTGGCACTTCATTCTGCTTCAGCAGTTTTAGCCTGACTTTGGAAAAGTCATCATGTGGTTTTTCTTAAGGGTTGCAACAGGAGATGACTACAATGTAGTAACTTACTACACATACACTTGAGTTATGATGTTTGCCAGCTGCATTGCTCATGTGTAAATAATAAACTGTGAGATGGATAATTATGTTGGGTTTGATATGCAGCTCTACTCCTGCTGATGGAGACAGGTCCCTCTGCCATGATGGAGTACGGCTGTTTCCCAGATGGAAACTACAAACAAGAAGCAACCAAGATATACAAAAGAGCTTAATGTGAGAGGACTCAGAAAGATGTTCTTCGAGATTTATAGCCTATGTGTAAATACAACTTGTTGGTGCTCTGCACAGGCCCCACAAAGGAGAATACCCTTTTTGGATTGTTTAATACTGAGTTTCCATTTCCCAGATAGGGGAAGGTAGCTTTTACATTCAGTAGGATTCAAATGGTGTTTCACTACTAATTACTGGAACTGATTTTAATGGGTATGTGCTCAGGCTGGGTGAGGATGGGACAGTGGAGGCTTGGCACCCTGAGTGGGATTGCTTGTTTTGGCCAGGTGAACTACATCCTGTCTGACGTGTGTGGATAATAAAGTCTCTGTGGATTTACCTCTGCTTCCCAGGCTCACTCTCTTGAGACACGTAGGGCAGAGAAGGATTTAGTTGTGCATCTATGAGGTTGCAAGTGAATTCCTTTTTGCTGAAAAATGGTGCTAGATTTCTATAGTAAAATACCAGACATCTGCTTTTAAACCTCCTCCCTTAGGCTTACACTGTTGTAGTCAAATACCAGCAAAGCAGGGAAGAGGGCAGGCAGGGAGATGTGCTAAAACATACTTCTCATGCTCCTTTTCCCCTTCACCTTGACGTATGTTGAGGAATGTGTTTCAGGAGGTGGCAGCAAGCAACTGCCCCATAGACAATGGCAGTGTATTCCTAGTCATCTGTGACCCGGTTTTGACTCCCACTGAAGCCCATGAGTGCTTGCCATGGGGAATAAAGCTTGTAATAGGTTGCATGCCAAAGTCCAGTTGGTACAGCAGAACCAGAATTAAAGCTACCATGAGTTTGAGCTCCCCGCTTACATCATAAGCCACAATTGTTTTTCATTTAGGGTGCCTAAGCCCTGAGTCAATAAATGGCAGAAATGTGCTGTGGTGTTTCACAAAATCAAGCCATGAAACGGGACAGGCTTTTGTCAGGTGTTTCCAGATTTTCTTGAAATACTGGGAATATTTCCTCAGAAATTACATGATTTACCCTTCATCCCCTGTGTTTACTCCCTCAGGGCAATGAGGTTTGTTCCTGTAGTTGTTTTCTAACTTCAAAACATAATAGTAAACCAGCTCAGCTTTTTACAAACACCATAAGGAAAAATTATTTATTTTAACCATCTCTAGCTGGCACCAGGGAACTGCTTTCACAAATAATATAATCTAAGAGGAGGTTTACGTTTTCCTGAATAGGAAGGGCAGGACATATAAAGAAAACATACCTTCAAGAGTCAGTGGGCAAAACTGAAATAGGCTCGGTTTTACTGCCAGGGCATAATTAAGGTTTTCTTTCTTTATAGAAGCATTTTAGTAAATCCATGACATGACCTAATGTCTGTACTTCTCAGCTTTTGGTGTTGGATAAACACATGACTTCATCCAAAGTGGTAATTGGGTAATAATTGTGCAGGATCAGTTTGTTTCGTGCTGCTAGAGATGCTTAGCATCTCACTTGAATTTTGAGCATTTGGGAGGCAGCAGTGAGCAGCATCTTGAGGCACACAAATTGCACCGGTGTGCTGCTGAAGAGAGCTCTGGTCTGTGTGCATTGTGCCCTCCGAAGCTGGGAAGCAATCCAGCTGCAGAAGCACTGCGTAGGGCGGGCATGTGCTTGGCCCTTCAGGGCAGAGCCCATGGGGGCATCAGAGGCACATTCTCCCTTTTGTAAGCCTCATCTCTGAGGCTCTCTGGAAACAGTGGGGAACAGGAGTCCTGACAGCTGCAAAATCCCCCATCCTGTGAAAGCTTTGGAGGAGATAGAGCAGGGGGGCTTACTGCAGCCATGAGTCCCTGGGTCTCGAGCCATAGGGACAAAGAAAGCATCCTTCCTTTTAAGAGCCATGCATGAAATGAGTCTCCCTGTCCTTGTGCACATTCCTACAAGTTTGGCCACTGGTGTGGTGCAGTTAAACATCTCCAATATGGCCTTTCCCAGTTGCATTTCCCTTTTAACATTGTTGTCTGATTTACTCCAGTTTTACTTATATTTCTCAGCATGTCACTTCAGTTTGGCTTTCTGTTGTATGAACATCTGTTATTGTGTGTACATCTCTGAGGATATACTTTTTTTATTGTATTGTATTCTCTGCTTAGGCTTTTCGTCCCGGGATGATTTTTTTTCTTGTTTTAATAAAAAATAAATCAGGAATGCTTATGAAAGCCTTGATGGTCCTTTTGATCTGACACTTCACATATGGGCACATAATTATTTATTAAAGACTTTCTTTACATCCCTTTCCATTTAAGCTATAAAAAGAGAATATTAAAATTAGTAAATACATATTCATGCAAACACTGTGGGCCAAGATCTTCTCTCCAACAGACCTGACTGACAGCATCAGGGAAGGAGATTGTGACCCACAAGTCGTTGTACTGTTAACATGTGCTTTTCAATATCTGTTCTCTCTTTATGAATGTTGTTTTTAAAGAGTCATTGGAGATTCTCAGGTCTGGAAACATCGCTTTTTTTTTTTCCAGATCCGCCTCACCTCTTTCCAGCATTCCACCCTCCTGTGCCAATTGATGCAAGACATCATGAGGGACGCTACCATTATGAACCATCTCCCATTCCTCCTCTGCATGTGTGAGTATTCAGTGATATTCATTGTGTATTTTCCCTTGATTCTGCTGCCTCAAAGAAGGAACCTTTGCAGTGGTTGAAACCATGCACCTGGAACACTTTTCTAGTCTTGCCAGAGAGTGAGATTTACTTTTGGAAAGCATCAAGGTTATCTGTTCATGAAGCAAAACCCATGCTGGTGCTTGAGGAATTCTTGTTATGATAGGTGGCTGGCAAGTGTTACCTGTGTGTTTTGCTGATATTTATTTGTGTTATGTCATTCTATAAATACTAATTTAAAAGGTGTTCAGCCCTGTGAAATACAGCCAGACAAACATGTATTTTAATATGTCTGTATTAAGCTTGGTATTCTTCATAGCTAAAATTTCCTCTCATGCCAAAGGTGGGTTTTTTTCCTTGTGACTGCTATGAACCATAATGAAATTTTCGGTAAATTTTCATAGTCCCTGTTGTGTGTGCATACAGGCAATTGGTTGATTGATGGGAATGTCACCCAAACAAAATGGCAAATGTGATAGAGCACATGGTTTACACAAAGATAAAAGAAATGAATACCAGTGATAACATGCATTAGAAAAGGGTGGTAGTGGTGAAATCCTGTAGAAATAAATATTATCTTACTCTGTATGGGGAGACGGATATCAGCATTGCGGGATAAACCAGTTGTTTTGTCCAGAAAACTGCTATAATATACCATTAAAAATGGAGCCGAAAAGCAAGGCTTGGTACTTCGCTAAAAGGCTTGATGTATATATTTAATCATATCTAATAATCACCTCTCATACTGAGAAACTAGAAGAAGAAAAGAACAAGTAATACTTTGAAGAATAATGCTAGTTGTTTAGATGGCAGATTGCTTTGCCATGGCTATTAGTTACAGCTGTGTAATTACATATATGCAGAAGAAAAATGAAGTTGTTTTAAAACAAGTCCTCCTCTGTGAGCAGAATTAATTGATATTAACAATCCTAACTACATGCCCAAGTATACACACAATATTTTACTAACAGTTTTTTTGGGTCAGTCTTCTATTACTGAATTGTAATTTCAGAGCAAATTTGCCTGGAGGTAAGTAATAAATCTGTGTTGCAGTCTTCTCAGGCATTAGAGGAAAAGTGGGTATTTATAGAAAGAGAGAGTAGATAAATTCATGATTTATTCCTTAGGGTTCCTCTGATGCATCACCATTTACACCACAATCAACCACATCATAAAATAAACACATGCCTAAATTTGCTGCTAAAAACTGTTGTAAGCTGAAGGCAGCAGGCTCAGAGAGGGTCATTACAGGATCATCCTAGATTTTGCAGTGCAGTCAATATTCTGCCTGAATGTTTTTGGAGCTGGGGCAGATGATCCTGCTCATTATGAAGTTAGTGGGGAATTTGGCTTTCTCTGTTGTGAGGCAAATGGGGAAAGGAGCCCCGGGAAGGGTTTTAACCTGCATCAGCAGACAACCACCATCCAAGACCCAGGTACTGCCTGTGAGCCTTCAAAGAGGCTTCAGGAATCCTGTGCCATGTGGGACTCAGGCTGTGTTTGCTGACCTGAGCCATCCCTGGAGCCTCAGTCCCATGAACCCAGTCCGTAGCATGACACATCCATGACACCCCCTGTCCACAGCCAGGGCTTTTGGGTGGATAGACTTTGGGTGACAGTGGGAAACTGGGACTGGCAGCCTACACTGATGTTGGTTCCAGGGTTTCTGTAAGAGCCCCAAAAGATGTTGGAAAAACCTGTTTCATACCTGGCATTCAGGGGTAGTCCTCTCTGAACCCAAAATTGACACTTCTTCTATGGAAGGATACCCCGCTGTGTGAGGCCCTGCAGAGGCTTGTTAGAGATGAGGATTTCTTAGTGTGATGTGATATGACGACAGGCAGCTGCTTTAGAAATACGCTCTGATATCAGCCCAAGCTTTAAGCTTAAAATTTTGTTCATACTGGCCATTTACTTTTCCTTTAACATCTGTTAATTTTCTGCTCATTTGGTTGTGTCACCGTTGGAATGATGAGCTGTAGTGGACCCTTGGAGCTGTTGTGGTTGGTGTAATTAAATATAAATAGGCAATTAAGCAACTTAAAAAAAAATTGGTCGGACTCCAACAGCTTCTTTTTAGATGTTGAGGTTTGTCATGCTTCTGCAGTTTTCAGGAGTATGTTTTAGTGTATATATATATGAGCTAGGCACCTAGTGGTTTTCTTGTAAGTTTTACTGAGCCTGGTGTGAGTATCACTTAGGAATGATCTCATTTAGGATCACCTGGGATCGTTTGGAGCCACTACTTGAACTGCTATCCTAGCAGCCATTATAAAAAAAGGAAGGAAAAAAAAACTGAAGTAAGAACTAGATTGAGAAGGTATTTGAGAATTCTTAGAAAAAATAGCAAGAACACCAGTCAGGATGCAAATGTTTACCCACAGCTTCATCAATGACTTCATTGTATGAGTGGTTTTCTCCTCAGCTTCACAATACTCTCAAAAGTGTGTATGTAATATAAATTTAAAAAAAAAGGACAAAAAGTTGGCATGATTCCACTTATCCAAGCTTCTAGAAATATGTTCCAGAGCCTTGTCAAGCCTTAGTGGAATTAGTTTAGGTATAAAACAAGTGCAGAAGAATGTCAAGAGGGCCTCATCTGAGTGATAACTACAGTGTCTGCCCATAATTTTGAACAATGCCCAAGTGAAAAAGAAAAAAGAAAGGAGGAATTTTAAAGCTGTTACAGGGCTCTTATGTACTTGCAGCCCTAAAAAAGGTATATGTATTTATATATATATTTCTTATAGTTTAATTGCTGATGGTCAGAACTGTTGTATCCCAAATTTCAGCCTGGAGCCAATTTTTATAATTTGAGTTATAAGCCCCTAAAGTAAGGGTTTATGTTTATGATGGAATTGCTGACAGATGCTTATGTATAGTAGGACTAGCAGGCATTGCTGTAATTATGCTATCGTATCCTATCATTAAAGATTTCAATTGAAAGAGGTTTATAAATTGCTCTTCCTCTTAGATAAACCACCCTACATTAAGGCATCAACGATATGGTGCAGAATTAAATTAAAATCTCATAAAATGAAATATGTTCTGTATTAGCTGTTTGACACTTAATTTGCCTCTGAATGAGTAGAGGAAATCACAAATTAACCTGCCTTTGTTTTTCCAGCCATGGCTTATTAGGTGTTAGAACAACTGCAATTACAGCCCAATAATAACCCCGAACCCTTATGAATATGTACTGAAATGTGTCACTTCATGTTACCGAAACCTGTTTGTTAGGACTGTGTAGTTATCCTGGAATTTCTACAGTACATCTTTGATTATACTTCAGAGAAGATGTATGAAACTTAAATTGTTCTTCAGTGGCAGTGTATGAATAGCAAAATCAAAGCTGGAGCTTGTGTTTCCATTTTTTTTTTTTTCAAATTCCAGGCATGAATCTTAGTTTAAAAAAAAATAAATCCAGTAAATTGTAATTCCGTTTTGCTGCTTTCCATTGAACTAGCAAGTTAAATTACTTGATAAACATCAGATGATTAAAGGAAAGCACCAGAAGCATAGCTTTAGTAATCCCACTCCTTGCTTTGCTTTTAGTTGCTGTTTTTGTCTAGCCTTTCCTAATTTTCAAAATTGATTTCTAAAGTCTGGTACTAAAGCAGGAGCTGAAGCTCAACTAAGTTTTGGTCCTTGACATTTGCTAGGTCATCCATTAGAGTGTGATATCTTCTGTGGCTGGTGTGCAGTGAGTCAAAATCATCATGCTAATGAGGGTGTTTATTTGAAATTAGTGCTCTAACTGTACTAATTTTCTTACTCCTCAAGAACCAAATCACAAGTTTATTATTGGCTAACTTTTCCAGTTGCTTGATGTCTTTGTTGACGTTGTCTTTCTTGGAATGAAAGTTGTAGGCAGTGAACCAAGAAAGAATAAGGATGTCTTGTCTATTTTTATGACAATGCAGTTGTAAATAATTTTATAATCCCACAACTTTTAAAATCTGATTTAGCCAGGATTAGAGCTTTCATTTCTTATATTAAAAAAAAAAGCTCTTAAGGCAGAGGCAAACTTCTACTGGTGGACTTAAATCCCACAATTTAGGAACCTACCATTCTTGGTCATTCATTTATTCTCATGCTTTAACCAAGTTGCATTAATAGGTTGGTCCCAATCTGCTTAATTTCAAAGTTGGGTTGGAGAGCATTTGAAGGTGACCTATCCTGATATTTCCAGGCATGGTTACCGTGGCTGTGAAGGAAATGCAGTCCTGCAGAGATGAGGCAGGGGACATCAGTCAGGTGGCAAAATCAGGAATGGCTCCAGGGTAATGGCCTGTGTACCTATCGGAGTGGTTAATGCAGGTGTTGCAGGAGGCCAGTAGGAAGTTAAAGTTTCAGGACTGAAGGTACTACAAGATGCATCATGAATCCATTTGGTCTCCATCTCTTCCTGTTGCCATCCCATTTTACCTTAGCTCTGGATTGCAGGTAAGGAAGCGTGAGCAGGTAAACATAAGGGAAGGTGTACTGATAATACTCATACACCTGTGGGGGCTGCCCTCACAAGGAGGAAGTTTCAAGGTAAAGCTGGTGTATTGTAGCTTCCTAGGATCAATGATAATACAAGATCTGCTTTTTCCTAACTGTTGATTGAGAACTAGTGGCATTGGAGTTTGGCGGTCGTACACCGTGAAATGATGCAAGTGCAGGTAATTCTTCATGAGCCTAACAGGAATGCCTTGAACAGGTATTTTGAGCTTTGTCAATGCTCCAGTACTAAACCAAAGCATGTGTTTTGCTTTCAAGTGACCTTCAAGTTGATAAAAAGAGAGTCTGATTCTTAGATATGTTATTTTGTATCTAATTTATACACCCATCAGTTACACAAGGGTGAAAAGAAGAGGGAGAGGGAGAGGGAGAGGGAGAGGGAGAGGGAGAGGGAGAGGGAGAGGGAGAGGGAGAGGGAAAGGGAAAGGAAGGAAAGGAAAGGAAAGGAAAGGAAAGGA